AGTTGGAAAGTCAACCAATCTTGCCAAGGTATATAAAGAAAAAAAATATTAAAAATTGAATCTTGGCATAAAAAAACAAAAAAAATAATAATATGTGAAACGTTGTGTACGATAGGTGGCTTACTGGCTTCAACAGCATGACATCAATGTAATGATGGCTGCATGTGACACTTTCCGTTCAGGGGCAGTCGAACAGCTGCGCACTCATGCCCGTAGGCTCCAGGTATGCAATTGACCTTTTTGTCCCCCTAATAATGTTCTTACTTCTTAATTAATATATGTATTTTAAATTGGTTTCAGATCCCTATATTTGAAAAGGGTTACGAGAAAGACCCTGCAATTGTTGCTAAAGAAGCAATTCAGGAAGCTACCCGGAATGGATCAGATGTTGTTCTTGTTGACACAGCTGGTCGAATGCAGGTAATAGAGAGAGCATCCACTAATTATTTGAAAAACCTCAAATAAGGACCAAAATTGAAAAAGTTGGGTATGCTCAGGGACTAAAGATGTAATTTACATTAAATTTGTTGTTTGCAGGACAATGAACCTTTGATGCGTGCACTATCGAAGCTTATATATGTGAACAGTCCGGATTTGGTGCTTTTTGTAGGGGAAGCACTGGTGGGGAATGATGCGGTGGATCAGCTCTCCAAGTTTAATCAGAAGCTAGCTGACCTGTCACCCTCACCCACCCCCAGGTTGATCGATGGGATCTTGCTTACAAAGTTTGATACCATAGATGATAAGGTACATAAACATCATATATTCTTGTTCTTTATTTATTTATTTATTTTATTGAAATGAAAAATTAGAAGGTAAGTTGGTTGATTTTGTTGTTAGGTTGGAGCTGCGCTATCGATGGTTTACATATCGGGAGCACCTGTGATGTTTGTAGGATGTGGACAGTCTTATACAGACCTCAAAAAGCTCAATGTCAAGTCCATTGTCAAGACCCTGCTTAAATGAATCAACTCACTTGTGTCTGCTGCTTTGTCTTAATGTTTACTTTTGCTTTCGGTGTGTTTGTGTTTAAACAAACAGCTTTGTGATTTCGACTTGGTTTGATGTTTTGTGGTTGGTTTGTTTTATTTGCCTTTGTTGTGAAATTATTTATCTTTTACTGCAAAATCAGCTTTTTAGGGTTTTTTTTTTTTTTTTCATTAACATATTTTTCCCAACAGTTAAACGGAGAATTGGTATTTAGTATTCACGGCTTAATAAGTGCTTTGTAGTTTATAAATTACACTAGCAATGATAGTACTATTACTTAATGAATACAACTAAGTTCGATTTTCAAGAGTTGTAGTGTACAGAATTACTGATAAAAAGTCTAATGTAATTAATCAAAGTTTCATATATTCCTTAAGAGGTACTTGGCATGGATAAATGAGATGCTAACTCACCCAAGGCAAAAGGGCTCCTCTGGATGGCATATGTATTCAATTTGCCATACTCAACAACTATTCCAGGAAACGTTTTTCACATCCAAATCTATAAAGCCATAAAATGAAAAGCATATACCAACAATTACTAATAAGGGTAAATTACACCAATCATCGTGCATATGCCAAAAAGCACGTTTAGTCCCTATTTTTAAAAATTAACTCGGATAGTCCCTGGGTTTGTTTTTTCTTGCATGCTTAGTCCCTCCGCATATAAAAAGACCATTTTGCCCTTATTTATTTATTTTTTGATTTATTTATATTTATTTTTTATTTATTAATTATTCATTAATTTGTTTATTATAAAAAAATAATTGTTATTGCATTTAAAAAAGAAATGGGTCAGTACATTTGATAACCATTTCCCCCTCCACTTCTTCTTCTTTTTCTTCTTCAGACCACCCACATCGACGGACTCCATTGCTCCGACAACTCCTAGACATCTTCGGTTTCAAACAGAGGAAATCGACTCCAAGATACCGACCAATTTCAATCTTTATTTTACTCTCGTCTCCTCTTTCCCCTCTTCTGATCTCATACTTACATCTCCCATTCTATCTCTCTCGCTTAGAAGACCACTACTTCAGATTTAGGTTTTCAAACAGAGGAAACCTGAGGTGGCACACAAGTGACGATGACGATGGTAACATACATGTGAAGATCTGTAAACGATGGCGATGGTGGAGCTCGATTTAACATCCTAGGCGGTGGTTTAAAACCTTAGGTGGCAATTCAAACATATCCATATATTCTCCACAAATTACATGGATCGATTGAGAACAAGTAACCTGATCGGGTGAATTAAACCACCATCACCAGCAACAGTTATGTTGCTGCCCTTCCTCCTTCTTTGCCAATCTTCTTCCCGTCTCACTCTCTCTTTCTCAATTTCTAAAACCATCTGAGTTACAAGTTTCAGATTCGGAAACCAGAGATGAAAGGTGGAATTTCGGGTGGTCGGAGATGATGATAGGAGTAGAATCAACAGAATGAAGAGGAGAGAGGGTTTGCTGGAGAGATTATCCATCGGCAATGACTTAAGAGTGATTTTAAGGTTTTATCAAGAGTTTAGAAGAGGATGAAGAAGATAGATCTGGGAAGAGTGGGGTGGGATTGGGTTTGTGTATTATGTGGGTCCATATTTTTTTTATAATTAATAATAATAATAATAAAACATTAAATTAATTGAAAATGAAATATACAAAGGGTATTATGGTCATTTCAAATCTGACAGGGACTAAGATCGAAACAAAACCGTGTATCAAGGATGAAGCATGCAGGATTTAAACAAACGAGGGACAGTCCGAGTTAATTTTTGAAAATAAGGACTAAACGTGCATTTTGACATATGCACGAGGGATGATTGGCGCAATTTACCCTACTAATAATAAAGTAATTTGATGTAATTGTACCTTCAACACATACTACTCCATAATCACTTTATGCTTTCATGTCCTTCACTTTATTTTTCGCACTGCCAAGAACTATCCAATATATCTCACAATATGTATGCCCTAATATAAATAATTAATGATAAAATATAAGGCAATATACATAAAAACCATTATATTTTGCTCATTTTTATGATAAAATCGTTGTGAATCAAAGTATATCAATAACGCCATTTATGATTGTATGTTAACGATTTTCCAATTATGATTCTATGTTAACAATTTTTTCTATGTCGAGACTTTGACCTCTTATAAAAGGTTAAAATTGTCATAATAGAAAAAATTGTCAAAGGCTTTAGTGGAATATTTTGATCATAACTATATAAAAAAAAACTAAATATATAGAACTGAATTTTATGTAATTTGCTTTGATTCATAATATTTAGGAGTACAGTGATCGATCTTTTGCTATTCTAAAAAAGGTTTTTGGCACTGTAGCACAACAATGTTTGTTCAATTTTCATATTTAGTCACTCATGTTTTTTTGATCAATTGGTCCTTAACGTTAGTAAATGCCGGCCAACTAAGGGAGTGAGAGAAAATGTATCCAGTTTACGAGTCACTGCTGACGTGTTTTGGCTTATGTGGACTACCATTTAATCATGTCATTGTATCCGGTGGGAACCTTCCTTAAATGGAACCCTCATTCTAACCAAAGAGAATACATTCTTACCCTAAATTAGGTCACCCCGATAACCTCTACTCAGTCGATATAACTAGAGCAATGCCTGCCTCTTTCGGTCGACCGATCAACCTCCTGCGTGTCGGAAACCATTGCGATGATGAAGCATGTCCACTTTGTGACTGTAAAGACAGAATAAGCGTCAAAAGGACTACCTGGACGAACGACAACGTAGCTTGGAGGTTGTGGAACTGAAAAAACTCCTTGGTGGGTATTCCTTTTATTTACTTACACCCTATTTGGTATCTTGAGTTGGTAATGTATACTTTTTGCTTAATCATAACCCTAATTGTCGTCTCCCATTTTAATTAGTCAGCTGAAGGTCCAAAATGTAAGTTTTTTCTGTGGAAAGATGATGCAATGGAGGAGGGGTACTACAAACAACAACTTCGTAAGTTGAGGTTTGAGGTATGCAAAAACAAAGACTTCAGTGAAGTTTCGAAGGCTCAAAAGAGGGTGATATAACTGCAGCAATCTATGGAAGCAGAGAAGGAAGTGTTTGAGAGACAGTTGATGAAGAAAAACTTTGTGATGAAGACTTACCTTGGAACTGCTAAGCGTGTGATCTTTTTTTTTTGTTCATTTTAGTCATTAGGATATGGTTGAAGTGTCCTTGAAGTGTGCATGATCAAACAAGGTATTTATAGTTGATGGTACAAAATTCCAACTAATTTTTTGGATAGTACATGGGTAAATGCCCAGGAAAGTAGAAAGTTTTTTTTTTGGATGAATTGGCACATGGTTAGATCACAGTTGTTATATATGGCCAGGTTTTGGATGAATGATTGTTTGATCAGGGTGTGTGTTTGGAATGTAGTAGATATAGTTGTTGGAAATTTAGGAACACTTGTATTGGGATAACAATAGATGGGTAATATTGTATGAACTTTTGCAAATTCAATGAATGGTATGAAAGATCCAAGTTTGGTATATACCTTTCTGTACTTAAAGATATGCATGTGCTCCTTTTAAAATTGAATTGTGGGAACCATACTGTTAGGCATATGGACCACACTTGGTCCATTTAAAAGTGAAGTGATTTATGTGCAGGGGTCCCTTTTGTGCAAAAAGAACGACATATGGACAACACTTGGTATAGAAGGACATAATTCTTGTCAATTTAAAATTAGCCATATAAGGATATATATATATATATATATATATATATATATATATGTCCTTGCCATGCAGTTTAACCACAAAGTCCTTTCCATGCATGCAACTTACAAATAACACAACAAATAACTCAAAATAACAACCAACTTACTTAATACACATTCCATATCACAGAAACTAACATAGTTTCATATAAACAACTATAGTTAACATCAGGGTCCCTTCACATAACATCCAATTTAAAGTACACCAAAAAACATAATATCATACTACATACAAACTTCATATGAAATAAAACAACATTTTAACTTAATCTAGAGTAAGAGCTTTAGCTATTGAATTCCCCGGTGCATCTTCACCACCAACTCTCTTGCCTAACTTCAGCTTGATAATCCTTTAAGATTTTTTCCTTCTGATTTTCTTCAAAAAGGATGCAATTGGTGTTTCCTTAGCCTCTTGTTGTTGTATATGCAACTCACCAGGTTCTCCATTTCTAGATGCATCAAAATCTAAAGGAGTGAGTTCCACCTTATTATAGTCTTGTTGCACATGCACCTCACTAACGTTGACATCTTCTCCACCCTTATTGACTGCTTCTCCACCCTTATTGACTGCTTGATTACCCTCATTCACTACATCACCTTCATTGACTTCAGCACCACCGTGATTGACCATTATGAAATAATATTAGGAAATAAAAAAAAAATTCTAAAGACTTAACCATCTAAATAATATTTACCTATTTTGCAAGAGTACAAGCTCATTTGTTGTGTCCTTCAATCTTACAAAGACTAAATTTTTGTTTCTTTCCACTCTTAGATATACTCACATGCTCCTTACCATTGTTTTGTGTTTGGTTTTTCTTCTTTGATTTGTTACTTGACTGATTTTCTGTTGCATCCCTTTTGCTTTTAGTTTCAGGTCTCCCATGTATATTTCTACAAATAGGAGGTAAAGGTGGGGTGTACTCACTTGCAAGCCACAAGTTACTTCTATGCATATGTGCTAACCTAAACTCGTACGCCTTCATGTAAGTGATGCTACTAAACATTTTGTCCACATGTGAATCTACATCCCTATTCATATAAACTTATGGATGCAATAGAATGGACACAACCTGTAGCGCCCGGTTCCTGGTATGTAATTTAAATATAATTTCTTATGTATTTACTCTAGGACTCGGCGAGTTGGAGGCCCCAACTCGAGTAGAGGTTAAAAATGGGACACAGATGGAAGAACCTACTCGCTGAGTTGGATGCACTGACTCGACGATGACACACCCCGGACCATAAGACAAACGGTAGAAACATCCATGGGTGTGATGGATTGGTATCAGAGCTATTGTTTATAGTGAATTAAGTATACCAAGCCTTACATGGTATACAAATATAAACACTAAGGGGACGAAGCGCTCTGAACTAAAAGTATACTTAAAAATATAAGTATTTTACATATACAAGTATACATACGTACTAGAAACAATATCATGAGTAGAACAAACAAAAGTATTTGGATGTTGGACACTGCGGTTAAACTTGGGCAGTTATGTAATCATGTCTAGGGTCAATTGTAACATTCTGAGTTTAGGAGTGCAAGTTCAGGGTTTAAAGTGAAATGTGAATGGTCAACTAGGCGAGTCCATGGGTAGACTCGGCGAGTAGGGTCGCGTGTTAAGTGGCCAACTCGGCGAGTCGGTGGCTGGACTCGATGAGTTGGTGCTGTGTGGAGAAAACCCTAATCCTTGCGGTTGAGCCCTATATAAAGAACATAATACCCTCTCCCCAGCCTCTTTACTCTCCCTTGAAGTCCAGAAGCCCTAATATTCGTTTGTGAGAGAATTAGAGAGCATTTGGATCTTGAAGGAGTGTTTGTTGAAGAGATCTTTGAAGATTAAGGGGCTTGGAGCAAGGGGCTTTACAAGGTTTTGGCTTATTCTTCTATTGGAGTCTTCTATTGAGGTAATGATTTGTTTCTTGAGCTGTTATCCATCTAGATCTATCATTTGTGGGATTTTTAGGAGTATACCTAGTGTTATCTTGAGTTTGGAGGTTGGATCTGAGGTTACTATCTCAGATCTAGAGTAGTGATGATCCAGAAGAGCATAAAGTCCCTGTTCAAGAATTGTTGATGAAGCCTTTTTGTCCCAAACCCTAGCCTAGAGTGTATTATGCTTACATCTCCTTGGATTCACGTAAAGTTTGCCACTTTACATGATGGATGGCTTGTATAAGAGTAGATCTATGGATTGGAGACCCTGCATGGATTGGAAAGCCTTTGTATGGATTAAGAACTAGAGGTAATCGGCGAGTCACATGGGTGTACTCGGTGAGTTGGATGAAGAAAGGAAGGAACTCGACGAGTTGGAAGAACAACTCGGCGAGTTGGATGAAGAATGGTAGGAACTCGACGAGTTGGAAGAACTTGACGAGTCTGTTCTTGGACTCATCGAGTCTAGTCGCGAAGTCCTAACCGTTTTGGTTGAGCTGTGAATCAGTGAGTCGAGGGACGACTCTGTGAGTTGAGCAGGAGGTGACTCAGAGTTCGTGGGACTCAGCGAGTCTTAGGGCGACTCGGCGAGTTGGGTCGCGATATGGGAGTTTTAAGAGCCTAGGGACTCGATGAGTCAGCGGGCTGACTCGGCGAGTAGAGTCAGTCAGAAAGTTTGACTTTGACTGAGGACTTTGACTTTGACCAAGAGTTGACTTCCAGGGGTAATTTGGTAATTATTGGAATTTATTGAGTTCAGTCTTTTGGTATTATCAGTGGCGAAGTTCGTGTCGGAGGTTGGAGCAACGTGATCTTATCTCTTTAGTCAGCAATTGTGAGGTGAGTTATCCTCACTATATCGACAGGGTCTAAGGCACCAAGGCCGACCCTTTATCGGATTGTAATCCGGGCAGTGTTGTTGTGTTATTGCTTTGCTATGCTTGCATCCTGGTAGTTAGGATGGTATACGTTAGTGACCGGTTAGGACGGTATCCTGTTTAGAGTATTCTATGTATATGATCTGCTAGATCGGTTGACTGATGATTAATTGTTATGTGGTTATATATTTATGTGCACATGGATGGTTGACTGGGCTTGGGTTGAGGCGGGTCCTGATTTGTGCTGTAGGCCAACATACCCAGGGCGGACCGGATATCCCGAAGGCCTAGCGAGCGGTCCGGATAGGCTGTAGGCCCCACGAGGGCGGACCAAACGTGCCGAGGCTCGGAGAGTGGACCAGGCTGACTGAAGGCCCGATGCGTGTGGACCAGTCATAATGTAAACTCAGAGAGTGGACCAGGTGGGTTGAAGGCCCGGTGCGGGCGGACCAACCACACTGCAGACTTGATGGATATGGCTAGACTCGGAGGGTGGACCAGGTGGACTGAAGGCCCGGTGCGGCTGACTAGTCACACAGTAGACCCGAAGTGCATGGATGTTCTATGTTCTGTAATGATATGGCATGTTGTGTGTATGGTATATGTGGTTGGTATTTTTGGGGTATCTCACTAAGCTTTCGGGCTTACAGTTGTGGTTTAAATGTTTCAGGTACTTCAGGAGACCGTGGCAAGGCAAAAGCGTGATCGTATCGCTCCTCATGTTTTATGTGTTTATGATGTAGTTCTGGGAAAATACTCTGATAATAAATGTATTGAAAACCTTTTTGTAAAACTTTATGAAATTGGGTTGTTTTTGAAAAGTTTAAATTGGCTTGAATTTTATGATTGTTACATCAATATAGCCTGATCAACTATATGTATTCGAGACATTACCAACATGTGCTTGAGAGTGACTGTGATGTTGCAGCAGGCCTAAAAATTATCAAGTATTCATACCACAAGATATCAATAGAACAAAACATGCAACTTAAAATACTATAGGAGTATTTTTACTAGGGTCCAATACATTGCAGAGATTCATTTACAAGTGTTGCTACTCATTCCTTTTAGCGATAATTTATTTGCATTAGTAATTTTTCCTTGTTTATCGCTTAGTAGAACACTCTATTTATCGAGCTGAGATATATCTTGCTTCATATCTCTTGATTCAAAATCCAGGGGACTTACCATCCTCTTCTTCCTGATTATTTTTAGAACAAGATGCCTCCAAAGAAAAGACCCAACAAAAAGAGCAACAATTCCTCATCAGATCCGACACCGCCACCTCCTCAGTTCGATCCTGCCATGTTCCAGGTAACTGTCACTGCCTCTGTGGCTGCAACGATGTCACATATGAATCCTGGTGGATCTAGCGGGTCGGGAAGTGGTGCCCAACCCCTCAATCTTGATGGAAGCGAAGGATACCAGAAGGAGTGCTCCTATAAAGACTTCATGAATGCAAAACCCACATCCTTCAACGACAATGGAAGTGTTATTGCTCTGACTCGTGGTTCGAGAAGATCGAATCCATCTTCGAAATTTGTTCTTGTTCGGAAGCCAACAAAGTGAAATTCGCCGCTTGCACTTTTACCGACAGAGCATTGACCTGGTGGAATGGTCGAATTAAATCCCTAACCCTACTAGTGGAAAATGCCATGGGTTGGGAAAGTTTGAAGGAAATCATGCTTGCTGAATACTGCCCAAAGGGAGAGATGCAGAAACTGGAGCATGAACTATGGAACTTGAAGATGAAGGGTTCTGACATTGCCTCCTTCACAACTAGATTATATGATCTGACTCTCCTTTGTCTAGGAATGGTTACCCCAGAAAGCAAGAAGATAGATAGATACATATGGGGATTGACACCCCCAACTCAAGGAAACATCTTGGCTGCTAGACCTATCACTTTTGACAACGGCAAGTGTCTGGGGCAGACCTTGATAGATCATAGGGTTGATCTTGATAAAGTACTAGCCGCTCATGAACCATAAAAGGAAAGTGGTGGGAAGAGAAAGTTCTGGAAACATCATAAAGGCCAGTCTTCGCAGGAACCCTCAAAGAAACAACAAACGGTGGCAGTCCATGCTGCTACCACTCCTTCCGCTGTTCCGGCAACTCAAGTACCTACCAGTAGATTTGTTGGTACGCTTCCTCAGTGCAACAAGTGTAACTATCATCATAATCCTGGCCCATGCCGTGAAATGCTCAGCAACAACTGTAGCAAGAAGGGCCACACAATTCGAGGTTGCAAGACACCAGTCCAACCCACTAACCAGGCCCACAGAGCAGACGTCAGACAAGCCTGTTATGGTTGTGGAGAAGTCGGGCACTACAAGAGAAATTTGGGCGATGGGAATCTTTCCTAAGTACCAAGATTTCCATACATCACACAATACAAGTTGTATGATTCCAAGTTTCTGTCCAACTGAAACTTGGGCGATGGGAATCTTTCCTTACTTAGATAAATTCGACACTTCCATAAAATAACATAATTAAGAACCACATCCATTTATAGAAATACACAAACATCAATTTTTTCACAACGATTTCATTGCAATGATATATATTAATAAGACAAACCAAAAATTTATTTTATTCATAAAAGCAGCAGAAAACATGTCCTTACAATGAAAAATTAACTGAAAAACTATGTAATCAACTATTCCTAACAAAATCTATCATAACTTTCTAAGCTCAAAATCTAATCTTCGAATCCATGTGATCGTGATCCGTTTCTTCGTAATCAGACTTATCTTGATCTTCCATCAAGCTTCCTCTCTTTTCTCTGATCCTGCAAAACATTCAAATGTA